AACTGGACACAGCTGTGGAGGACTGAAGCAGAGAAAAGAAAAGAAAGCCTCCTTAGCAGATAACCTATTTTCCTCTGTACACGAAATGCCCCTTGTTCTGCTGGGACTTGTTTCCCCACTGCTGGAACTCCATCAGTGGCCATTAAACTCCTGATCAAGGCACATTCCACTGCAGGGCATTTGGAAATTAAATGCTCAAGGAATTAGAGGAAGATGGTCTTCTCCCGTACTTAATTTTCCTGTGTATTATTAGTAGCTGCCTCTGCACTGCTAATGCCCTACTCCCACTGTGTAGGCATGAGCTGGCAAGGTCATTTATTTTTGAACGTGTTTACTGGAAAAATGCAGTTGCATCTGAATGATTGTTTTGGGAAAAATAAAAATCTTTGGATGAGTCATAAGAGAAGAAAAAAGGTCATTTGAGAAGATTTCAGTAAGAGAAGAAATTGATAAAGAATATGGAAATGCATTCTAATTAGAATGAAAAGTTTGAAGACTGCACCCTGTAGTGAAATTAGTGTCTGCAGCAGACAATGCTCCTCATTAACAAACCGGGACCTCACTTTTATTACACTTAAACCAAGATTCTTCACTGTGTCCTACCACTTAAAAATATGCATCAGTGACCACAATGCTCATGCCAGTGGTTATTCTTAACCCTCTGCATTCATGAGCAGGTTGAAACTTTGAAAGAAGCACAAGTTGGAAGAGAGATGCCACAGAGATATGGAGTATGTTATGCTGAAATTGAATCTTCCTTTGAATGGTGGAAGAATAATAAGAACCCTGCCTACTGAATCATGTTAAACTGCAGCATTTATTTATTTTTAGTACAGTTTTATCTGGTGACAATGTAGTCATTATAGCCTTTTGTTGTTAAGGTGTGTGCATACTTCTATTTGAAAACCTTTGCATAAAAAATGCATGAACAGTAAAGCTTTTAAAACCAACCTACTCCAATCACAGTTCCAGTTCCCCCCAAATTTTGATATTTTTTCATGACTATAGGTCATTTTATAGGAAGTAGAGAGAGCAAAGAAGAAAAAAAAAAAAAAAAAAAAAAAAAAAGGAATGAGCAGACTTTCCAAGAAATAGAAATTAGAAGTATTTTCTTTAATAAGATCTTGCTTCGAGATGCAGCTGAGAGATTGCTGGCAGGAATTGTGGTCCTTTTCTTCTCTGCAGCTTCCACCCCTTGTATTTCCCTTCCCTCACCTCGTGCTCCAGGCCCAGCAGATGAGTCAGCCTCAGTCAGGCCAACATGCTCTGGAAGTGGAGAACTGTTTGCAGACAATCCAGGCAGCCCAGGTGATGCAAAACTAAATACAGAACAAACCTGACATGTTCCAAGTCAATGAAATACCTTTTCAGTACCTCCCAAGGAAAAAATCCACCAAAAACCAACTATTTGCACACAGAAAGCTTAAAGAAAAAAAAAATACAAATTGTCATTTTGCAATGGAAAAGAATTTCCCTGAAATAAACCGAGCAGCACTTTATCACTGCATGAAGCCCATGTGCTGAGAAAGCAGAAGCTGGGTCTCCAGCAGCTGAGGCAGCCCCATCAGTCCCAGTGCCTGCCTGTGCCTCTCAGCTCACCTGTCCCTATGCTGCTTGAGACGTGCTGGGAGCCACAGCACCACTCGAGTCACAGGGTGTGCTGGAGTTGGCCACTGCTGGCCTTGCAGAGCTGCTGTGGCATTTTGGCAGGGCTACTCTGTGGGCAGGAGGCTCGATTCCCCCAGTGCACCTGTGTTTCCACCCACCTGCAGCTTGCAGCAAGCACAACATGTCTCTGACAGAGATAAAACCTGACTCGCATATCAAGAGAAGGCTACTTTTATTTACTCCTTTAGTCTCATGAAAGAAAAGGGGGAGCTGAGCGTGTAGATAAAGGTAATAAACAACTCCAAGCTCCAGTAGCATCTGAAATGATTCTGCTGTTTATGGTTTCTTTTGGCTACAAGTAATTCCGTGTCTGTTAAATAGCCAGTGGCGCCTTCCTACTGATAGGACCAAATCCCAGCACAGAGCCATCGCCACAGGCAGGAGGATGACAAACAGGAGGCACAACAGGTACAAGGCAGAAATCCGTCTTAAATTCACTTGACTCGTCTGCTGTTTTATGGGCCTTGTTCTCCTCACTCACACACTTGTATTCCACTGGTGTCAGTACAGCAACTTCAGTGAAGTCCTCCTGTGTAAGAGCACTTCAGACCCTCCAGACACAGAAGAAAAATACTTTTCATGCCATGGCAGAGCCTGACTTCACACACACACACATGCATTCACACACACACACAAACCCCATCCTCACAGCTCCAGGTTTTATTCTTGTTGTGTAGCACCATTATAAGCTATTGGAGTAGATGTTTTTAACCAATTAGTTATTTTCCCTACCTGCTTTGGCAAGGGAGCTGCAAGAAGTTCAGCTGCTGAAGTGCTCTGAGCTCCATGCCACCACCTGGGCTGCACCAGCCTCTGTGGGCAGGATCGGGCTGGGGCAGGTGGGCTCATGCTGTGGGGATGGAGTGGGGGGTGCTGGAGAGCTGCAGCTAATTACAGTCAAAAATCATAACTTTAGACAACTCTAATGTTTGCAGCTGGAAAGACTTAAAAGCTATTTGCTTCTAATCTCCCTCTGACAATCAATGAATTGAACAGTAAATGTTATTAGACTAATTTACTGTTCATCAAGAGTAAGAAATGAATAGAATAATTTACTATTCATACATCCAACTGTGTGACATGTGTACAGATCAGTTTGAAATAAAAAGCAACATTAGGGTTCCAGTTCTCCTTCCATACCTTTTTTTCTAATTTCGATTTATCTCCATTCTCATCTGTCAAGTTGCTCTGGCTCTGCCCCAGTGACAGAATGACCACATCTGTTTGGGTACACATCTGCGTAGAATAATTTGCCACCTACCTAACCAACTCAGCAATTTCCAAAGGGGGGAGCAGTAACAAACTGCACAGCTGTAAAGGAGGCACCTGCTAATTCTAACTGTCCTTTGTGGGAGGCATTTACGTCCAGTTTTGGGGCAGCTTTTGTGAGGATGCTACAGCTGTGCTCCATCTTTCTGCTGAGGAAAGCCTGGTTATTTGGGCATTTGGAGTATACAATGAGGCAATTGGATAAATTGCCCTTTCCAGGCCAGAACTGGGATAGCATTAGACATTTAGAAATGCTGAAGACCTGCATTTCTTACAGAATCTGGCTATATTAATGTGCAGAAAAAACAGACCTATAGCATCTTTGGTTAAATGGTCTCTGTATAATTTGGGTATTAAGGCAAGAATACCAATCACTCTCTGGATGCCACAGACCTGAGCACAAGGAAAGCACATGGAAAACTGTGGTCTAAAATGACTGAAACTGAGGTTCTCAGTGGAGTTCATCTGGCTGGATGGCATGAATGCTGTTCTTCTCAGTGATGGTTTTGTGGGTTAAAATTCTTGGCTTCCTGGCTCCTGTAAGAGGTGTGGCAGCCCTGGTGGCTTTATCTCCCTACCCAGCACAGCACCAATGTCCTGCGTATTAACTCCTCTTAGCTAAACTCACTTTTTTCTGCAAGTTGCACCAAAAAGAAGCAGTTTTTCACTTCAGAGGAAATAGCTGGTAAGTGCACACAGATAACTTCTCACTTCAGCTGCATAGGCTTTCCAGCACCTCAAGAGATCCCACAGTTTTTGTTTTGATAAACAAGATGCCATCCACCATCTGCCATCTCCCATTGCCTCTGTCAGGAAGTGCAGTTTGGAGAATTCTTCCAACTGGAAGAGCCTCAGCTGTCTCTGCACTTCAACACTATCGTTTCTTGTAATCTTTAAAGATCTGTCCACAAGCTCTGAAATGTTAGTATTGAAAAGCAAATCAGAGGGGAAAAAAAAAAAAAAAAAAAAAAACAACCTTGAAGATTTAGGGTAGATTTTGATTTTAAAACTAGAAAAAAATACCAGCAACAAAGCAGAAAGTACAGTTTTATCTTTTTTTTCCCCAGTTCTGAGCTGCATGCTTTTTAACTAGGCCTGACAGTCAGGCTCACTTTTGTCCTTCTCACACAACAGCACCAGTCAGAGAGATCCCACCAGCCAAATGCCACTTCAAATCTCCCAAGCAACCCTTTTTTCAGAATGTCTCCTTTCATACATATGAAATGTAAGAAGAACTCAGGAAGTTCCTCAGATGAAAGCTTTCCTTCCAAGTTGTCACCTTTGAAGAAGAGCCCCAGTGCCAGATGTTCAGTGGAATTTGCCATTTTTGTGACTAGCAATAGGGATGGAATGCAATTTCCAAGCCACACTTCATCTGGAGCATGCCACATAGAGCTTGGGTTCATCTGGGGCCATACATCTTGCAGGACCATTCACACAGCTGACCCCCATGTAGGCAATTTGCAGACTCTGAGCCAGGTGAGATTATTTGCAGTATAGATTCAGCTGGTGGCAGCACAATTGTTATGAGAGTGCCATTACTGTTACAGTGTTAACACGAAATTGTGCCAAAGGCTGGCTGTGATCACACAATAGTTCATGGAGGAACATGGAGATTATGATTACCTAGTACTGTAGTGGAGAAGACACCTGAGAAAAGGTGCTCATGCCCATGGGTTAGAGCACATGCTGCCAGCAGGGGCACGAGGGCCAGGTGCAGCTCCTGCCCCAGAAGGCAGAAATGTTGGACTGCAGAGCTGACGGCTGACTGAGCTGCAGCCAGCTCCGATCTCTGCTATGCAATGTTTAAAAAATAGAATCAACACATCAAATGATGTGTCATGTAAGTTTTCCATGTCAAGGAAAATAGCCCGAGGCCCTTCCTCCCACATTTGCTGCTACAGCAGCCAGACAACCTGGCCCTCAGATTTATTCTGGTCTTTAATCAGGCAAAATCCCTGTGATCTCTGAGGTTGGGCTTCATGGTTTTGGAAAGAGATTATATGGTTTACTAGAAGGAAGGCACTTGCCCACTGTTTTGAGGTCTGCGGTCACTGTGAGAGTCACGCTCATTGTGCACCACCTGCTGAAAAAGTGGAAATGCTCTCATTTGTCCCAGTCATCTCTCTGCAATAAATATCCAGCGTAGCTGCTTCAGAGCCGTTACTCATGCTATGTTTCCTTCTGTGTAAATAAAAGTAGATGCAATCTAGCACCCAGATGACCCCAAGTTCTGTTTTCTAGTGCTAGTTTGCTTTATTTTTTCTGCATACTGTGCTGAAGTTTACCTTTCTCCATGGTTATGCTGCCCCAAGAACAAAGGTGGTCCTCCACAGACTGGGCACAGTGAGGCTGTGCAGGGAAAGTGGACACGGTGATACTGCCCCTCCATGCACAGATCATACTTCCTTCCCTTTGCATCTCAGGTAGCTATCTCACAAATTTCCTTTGACTCGGGGCATAGTGAGCCATTGGTTTTGCCTTTAGGCAAATGTGTGTTAGCTGACATAGGCTGTGGTCACTGCCATCTCGAGGCAGAGTAGGACCATCACAGTGCTCACAAATGTTCCCATTTCAGATTCATGGGACTCTGAGCCATGCAGGTCTCTTACAGGAACACACCTTCCAGGAGACATAAACCCAGATAAGAGGTTAGGTTTAAAAATGAAATCCTAAACAGGATTTTAGACCAATGTGCAATTTCACTAGTGGGCAATATGGTTTTCTTGTATATATAATAAACCTCAGTAATCAGAATTGCTGTGAGCTGCCACAATGCATACTCTCCTGTGGTGCAACCCTGGTCGCTCTCACTGATGTGTGCTATTTCTGAACTAAAGCATAAGGTTTATCATCCCTGCTGTTCTACCCTGCAAGCAGGAGTAAAAAAGGTCGACTACTGTGTTCAGGCAGCATCAAATTACTGTAAAACAAGTGAGATACTGCAGCGATATATGGTGAATCTCAGCATCTTCAGTTCTCTTTCAGGCTTGCATTATGAATGGGTCACAAACTGTTGCATTCGTAGCAGAATTATAAGCCATCAACTGACCCAGCCCTTCCAAATTAATATTCAGTAAGGATTTGCAAATTAAACCATTTTGTACCTGGGCGTGCCATGGAGTACCTGGAGTGTTTTGTCTGAGCTGTGTAACGGTGAGTTCAGTCTCATAAACCAATTTACAGGCTGATGTAGGGCTTCATATGATAAAAAAAGATGACAGAAAGCAGAGGGTAAAAGTGTTACACTGAACTCTGGGCTCAATGTAAGAGAGGAATTAGGTACTTCTGATCAGGTTTTTTTTTAGTCTCTCAAATTCAGTTGGGAGTTACTCTGTGTCACCCAAACCTGGTCATTCAAAGTCACTAAGGTCTGCCTTTCTTTGTCCTCACTGCTTGCTGCTGGGCATGCCCCAGGCTGCTAATTCAACCAGGCAGTGCTACCTTCATCAGCAAGAACCAGCTCAGGTAACACAAGACCAATATCAGCCCTTCTTCTGTCAGAGAGGACACGAACCTTTATCTTCTCAAGCTGAAAGAGAGCGACTCAATAGATCTGCATCTATAGACTGCAACGCTCTTTTCATCCATCTGTCGAAATGTGTGTACCTGACTGCTTCGGCAGCCACAGATACAGCACTCAGCACAACAGCTGAATCACTTGGGGTTTTGGTCTGTTTTTAATTACTTCCACTGAAATTCAGGCAGCACCAATGATGGGGAGGTGCACCCCACTGGCTCTCTCACCTTTTAGAGGGTGCAAAGGGAATCAGGGAGCTGGCATTCCAAGTCAAGGGTGAGGTGAGAGACACGATGCTGCAAGTTGCATCAGCAAGTTGGTATGGGAGTAAATTAAAGAGTAGGAGCATGGGCTTGTAGCAGCAGGAGAGATGAGGGATTTAAGAGGTGATGGATAAATGCACCTCCTGTTAACCTGCACCTTTTAAGTACCATCCAACCACCCAGCAGAATCCACACTGATGTTGTGGTGCTGTGAAATGCTGTTAGTCCCAATCAGCTGGCAACCCCACAGGTGCCACCAGCCCTGACCTGTGCAAATCGCGGCTTCTGCCGCTCGCAGGCTGATGGAGGTGCCACGAGCAGGAGCAGCGTGCTTCATCTGGCAGGGGCTGGTGGCAAATTGTAAAAGCTCTTCCCATAGAGAGAAAGAAGCTAATTTCTTACTAATTATTTGCCAAACAGCATGTAATTAAATAGTGCAGAACTGTCGACAATGCATCTTTGGGTCTTTAGGCCATATATTTTTCTCTTCGTGGCACACTCCTCCAGTGCTTCAAGGCTACTACACACTGCAGAGCAGCGAAGGAACAGAGTGATAATTGAACAATTAACAAATGATGTCATAAAACAATGTACTTAAAATAAAATGCATAATTAAAATAACTGAACCACAAAAAAGATGCAGCAGCATACAGAAAAAGCACACACACACACACACACAAAAAAAATCCCTGAGAATAAGCCCCATGTAGGAACTGAAATATGCCATTTAAAGGAAAAAAAATAGCACCAGAGTGGTTAAGCAAAAATGTGGAATAAACTAGCAAGCAAGAGTGATTTGCAAAAACTATAATAATGTTGCAAAAGAACTATTCTCTGTAGTTAACAAGTTTGGACCATAAAACAGTCCTTTGGTGACTCCCTGCATCATTATTTGCTACCAAGGCACTGCATTGATGGGCTCATTGGGATCCAGGGATCCAGCGTTAGATCAGTAAGCAGGAAAGCAGAGGTCCCACTGGATTTCCTGCCTGGAGAGCTGTTAGGATCCATGCTAGTTCTTTAAAGAGCAGAGCTGTGTACAGAGCTGCACTCAAAATGACCGTGTTAGGAATATAACTACTTCTGCTACAATTGAGACATTTGCAGGGGAAAAAAAAAAAAAAAAAAAAAAAAAAAAAGGAAAGTCAAAAGAAAAAAAAAATGCGCGCTTGCTTGACTGAGGCTCATTCTAACAAATGCAGTTTTTGAAGAGCTCTGCATGCTGCCTGTGTCTCTGCTCTTGGGAAGGCCGGAGAGGGGACTAAACTGCTGCCGCCTCCGCAAGGACAGACTCCAGCTGCGGCCAGCCCAGCCGGCTGTCACTGCTGCGGGCACCCTGCACAGAGCCAGAGGGTGTCACCAGGTGCACCCACCTGCATTCACGGTCATTCACAGCACTCAGAGCCCTTTATTCTGGTTTCTCTGCTTTCATTTGGCACTTTTTTCTTTTTCTTTCTCTTTTTTTTTTTTTTAACTTGATACACTAGAAGAGATTTTAAACCATGAGGCAGACGTGCTTTCCAAGAATAATTGCTCTTTGGCTGCTGCACAGGAGCTCTGCTCATGCATTTCTGGGAGATACTTGCAGACTGCTAACTGCTCTGGAAGCCTTTCAGCCTTTGCTGCCTGCAAATGGCATTATTAGTCACTAATAGCCTCAGCTCACCATGTTGTCTTTTGGTTAGTTAGCAGCTATTCTGCAAGTCAGAGACAGGGAAAGAGACACATATGTTTAAGCAGGAGCCAACTTCTGATCTGTAAAAAAAAACCTGGAGGGTTTTCTTAGATCAATCCTACCATTAGCTGAGAAGCAATGGTGAGGGAAATGTGTCAGCACGGGGTGGGGGTGTCCACGCCACCTCCCAGCTGCTGTTTCTGGGACTGGTTCCTGCAGAGGACCCAGAGGATGTTCTCGCAGGCTCTCTGGCCATGGCACGGCTGCTGACACAGGGCTGTGGAACAGGAGGAACAGGGGTTTCATGGTGGTAAAAGGAGTGGGGGAAACTTGATGTGGTGCTTGGACTCAAAAATCCATGGCACCAAATTTCCAGATCTAAATGGCTACAACTATCAGAGCAGTTAAATGACATATATATACATCTTATTAAAAGTCAAGGGGACTTAATAACAAAATCCTCGGTGTTTTGTTGTTCTTTTCTAAAGGTTAGGTATTGTGTTTGTTGTTTTTTGTTGTTGTTGTTTCATTAAGGTTACTTGCTCACCTGTTTGTTCCTTTTTGGATATTGTAGGATTCTGTTATTTACTGCTCAAGCAATTCCAAGAAGTGCTCTACTGACATTTCACGGTATTTAGTATTGACCAAACACTACATGATAAATCTTTATAATACTCCAGAGAGACCATCAAGGGAGCAGTTACAAATATATACATTGCAGCGTATTGTGTTCTGGGTTAAATGAAATATAAAATCACATCACCATCCTGGGTACTAACTGCTCTATCAGTATTCCATCTCACTCCAGCTGCAGGTATGGCGGTTGCCATTAAGACGTCAACATTTGTCGATTGCCGTGGATGGTAACTGATGGATTGCTCTTTCCCACAGTACGTGGGAAAGAAAATGTGAACCGTGGCAACGTTGGTATCTTGCACCATCCACAGCTCAAACTTTGTGGGCAGCGAGAAGCACCTATACAGAGAGAAAGATGGACAAGCTGGTACTGGCAGTGGCCACACGGTGCTGTCCTGTGTGCTGCGCTGCTGCATTTCCCGCTTCAGGAGATGGAGCATTTCCAGGCCTTCAGAAAGTTCTGGATTAGTTTTGAGCTTTGGGTAATTTATAGCCAAGTTGATTTCACCATCATTAGCTTTTATACGTTCAAACAGGGTTTAATTTTGTTTGGAAGATGCAGACGTGTGTACAGCTAGATAATGCCCTGTTTATTTTACTGACTAATTCATCACTTAAAGTACAGGACTATAGGTTGAGAGACCAAGACTTATGCAGACTCTCATACTCCTAAATCAAACCAATAAAAGTTAAATTCACACTGTTTGCAAGCACTTTATGCAGATGGAAAATGTCACCTTGTCTGAAATACTTTATGGCACAATGCAGAAGCAAAAAGAAATCCCACAGTGAGAGATTAAAAAGCTTCACTAATGCTTAGCTGGGAGGCACGCGGTTCTGTGCTGCCTCCTCCCTGTGTGACGGGGAGGTTTTCCTGTGAAGCAGCATCCCCTCGGGCGATGCTCTGTGCACAAGCCCACCATGGTGCCTCAAGCCCTGTCCCTCCTCCCCCAAAAAAACAACTGGGCTGTTCAACTGGGGCCCTGTGTGCTTCCCCTGGGGTGGGCAACTGCCATGGGGAGAGTAAGGTGGTGGCTCTGTGGGATCCCACGAACCCTGGTGCTGTGACACCCGCTTGGGCACGATCCAGCCCATCTTGTGCCTATTTATGCAGCTCTGTCAGGCTCAGCAGTCACAAGATGCTGGGCCTGCTGCATTGGTTGAGGCTGGTGTCCCGGGCTGGGGCTGCACTTTGTCTCGTGGTTCATGGGACCAAGGTGTGGAGAAGACTCTGAAGCTGATGGTTATGCCATGTAAGCTTAGTTTTCAAGGGTCTTCTAGCCATTTCTCTACTGTCTCCTGCTACCTGAGATAGAGCCAAGACAGTGCTGCAAACATGGAAGGAAACTAACTTTTTAAAAAGCAGCTTTAATATTCCATAGAGGACACATCCCAACAGAAAGCACTGGAGAGCTGTGGGACAAGCTGCTGCAGGGGGCTGGCCACAGCCAGAGCCCTGGCTCCGGGCTGCTAGCTGGGCATAGGGCAAACATGGAGCCACCAGGAATCAGCGTGCCGAGACCCATGGAGCTGTGTGGAGCTGTGCTTAAAAGCAAAACCAACAGTCTCAAAAGCCTGATTCCCAGGCAACTCCTTCCCTCCGACATTGGGGGGAGATGCCACCCATCAGGCACAGCCGAAAGATCAGGAGCCAGCCTGGTTTCTGCTGCAAACTTTACAAAGCTTTCCTACAATGTTTTCATCCCTCTCCCTTCCGAAAGACAAAGGGGTGCCTCGCTCCCCCTGCTCCAGCGGCTCTGCCGACTGCGGACGGAACATTAAATGCTCTGAAAGCATTTTTACAGTGGGGAAGCAGAGACTCTGCAAACAGCTAATGGGTGTATTTCAATTCCCTATTAATTGCATATTTATTACTCAGCTGCTGCAAGGAAACGTCATGTTAGGTTGATTAAAGCTTTGCAAGCTGTACAGTAAATATTTTAAACAAAAAAGGTTTTGATCTCAGTTGCTGTAGGGAAGGGTGGGGGAAAGCTGCCATTAGAGTTGCTATAATTAGCAGGCTCCATTACAGACAGTGTTTCCCACAGGCTCTGCAACATGCTTCGTGTGTGTCTGTCTGCATGTATTTAGGCAGAATATCATTTTATGTATATGTATATATATAAATCGCATATATTTTTATATTTTTATATTGTGTGAGGAAAAGAGAAAGCCTATGTTGCTATCTTGTGTCTTGTTAACATGCAAGATGAAAGACATATTCAAAACGGAGAAAAGAGGAGTTACGTGTACTGATGGGAGTTTGGGGGTAGATGACCAGCCCGCAAGCCCTAGCTGCCCACATAACGTGTGTCTGATTAATTAAGCCCTTGCCTGTACACGCTTCTGTTACTAAACGCCAAGTCTCTGCACATATGCTTGTGGTCTCCCTTGCTTCATGGTGTCAGTCAGGGACCGCACACGCAGGCAGATCACACTGGGCAAGCCTTTGTGAACGTCACCCGGATGCGGGGTAGCGATGACCAGCCACAGAAATGCCAAGCTTTCTCTCCTGCCCATCTGCGTGATGCTGTCAACATATCACAACAGAAGTGGTACAAGAGAAAAAGCAGCCCGTATTTCTGGCACACTGCATCATCTTCATCGCTCACCGCCAGCCCCCACTTACCTCCTGCACAAGAGGCTGCAAAACCCCCAGGCAATGGCACATCTCCAGGTGCGATGTGTGGCCAGCAGTTTTGTTCTTTGCTCACCCCTGTGGTGCTGAGGCTCCGGTGCTGGCCCCAGCATTGCTCCCTCAGCCTGCCAGCACAGGACCATGTCTCCTCTCCCCTGCTCCTTGTGCTTTTCTCTTCTTGACATTTGACATGAATTAGAGGAGACATCAGTCATGCCCGGCCCAATAACCGTGGATACCTGCCACGGGACAGGAGAAGCTAAAGTGATGCTAGTGCAGGACAGACAGCTCTAACTACTGAGCCTGGGGATGTGCAGCTCCGAGGAGGCAAAGGCACACCAGAGGGGTGTTGCTGGTGGGGATCAAACTGCCCAAACTCAGCCCCAGGGCTGGAAGACCAGCTCTGACACAAACCAGTGCTGAGTGGCATTTTTTGGCTGAAAGGATAAAACCCCTTAAGGGTCCATACACCCTTCAGGGCACAAATGCACAACTGTCTTCAAATCTGCTTGCTGTAATCCCCAAACCAGATAGCAGCAGCTCCCAAATGCAGGAATGGGAGGTGCAGGGGTCTCTGACTCTATGCTCAGGCAAGCCTTTAGCTTTTAGGTTGAGTTAACAAGTTCTTGGTCATAAAATGCAGGCCAGCAAATACAGAGTAATTTATTTTTTTGTGTAGCCCTTAGAGCAGTCATGGTGCTCTGTATTCCCAAGTTGTTGCCCCAGAGTTTGTAGCTGCTATAGGCAAACCAATGGGCAATTTTCAGGAGCAAAATCTGTTGTTGTCAAGTCTTAGGAGTTTATTAAGCTGCAATATTTGGCTTGGCTCATTTCCTACAGCGGCTCCCTCTTGGAGCTGTGTGATTGCAAGGGATGCAGCAGTTATTAACAGTAAAACAAGTTTCAATCTCTTATGACTGCACATGAAGGCTCAGAACTGTGAACCTTCAAAGGCACAAAATACAGAAGGCAAAACCAGAAATTATTCAGAATTTATTTTTTCAAGTAGGTTTTTGAAACCCGTTTCAAAATTCAAGGGACCTCATGTCTGATTTTTGAAACAAACGTTAGCAATGCTCAAACTAAATGAGCCATATTTACATCTCACTGATTTCTGTGAATGAAAGGGTGGCAGCGAGGTGGGGGGACACGACTGCGTTTGGCAAGTCCCAGTGCAGAGAAAAGAAATTAAATAAACAAAGCAGGAGCAGAGTACTTTCAAAAAGAATCAAACAGCATGGACCATTAATGTTTCAAGAGATAGGAGCTGTATGTGAGCCAACCATCCCCAAGATATTTATTCCCTATCTTTAAAAATAGGGAATTGCATTAGAACAGGTAGAATCTTTCAAAGCAGGGAAAATTTTTAAGGGCACTCACTACCCTTTAAAGAAGACTTCAAAAACCATCTCCAGCATTGAGCTGAAGTAAGTTGGAGAGATTTGTAGGTTATAGCAAGGGAGAGTGATGGGAATACATGTGGATCAAGCTGGTTACTGCAGTAAACAAACCTCCCCCAAACTAGCAGTGAGTGCTCCAGCTCAAGAATGAATGGCCTCTTATCTAGAAATAGGTATTAAAGTAAGCCAAGAAGCTGGGTAAACACCAGCCAACAGCTATAAACTATTGTTAGGGAAAGGTGAAAGCCAACTAGCCTTGGCCACTGGGTTGGTGAGGAAGAACATAGCTAGACACTCAGTTCTTCATAGACTGAGATGTAGCCTTGAGGAAGCTAACCCCTGAAGGCTTTGAAATTAAAAATGATGAAAAAGAAGAAGTTTTCATTACAAAGGAGGACAGCATAACACAGCTATAGAGGCAGAGCTTCAAACAGTGCTGCTTTAAATCTGTGACAAAGCCAGCAACTGCACGGGAAGAAAGCAAATCCACGCTTCTATTCATCCTGTACCATCAAGGGCAACATGCAGCTCAGCTTTCTGTGCATCCCGGCCGGTTTGTGAGAATGAACTATTTTATCTCAAGGAAAGAGACATTATCATTAATTGACTTGCATAGTGCTTTACACTAATAGCCGGGTGCTGTAAAACAGAGATACTGTAATCATGCCAAGAGTTTGAAAATTAGCAAAAGTAGCTGGGCTTTATTCCCCCTTCCCCCAAAATGTACATGCTCCACCTGGCAGGTGGTGGGCAGGCATCATCCCAGGGTCTTCGCAGCCCACCCAGCTGCAGCCAGCGCCGTGTGCCTTGCACACCTGGAGCTGCATCCCAATAAGCCTCTGGCCCAGTTGGGTGCCCATAGCTGGCAGAAGGGTTGGAGGGGGGTCTTTTGCATAAGCCCAGCACTGTTTAATGGAACTGCTTGCACCTTGTGTGCTGTCAGGGACACCTTTCCTATCCTTCCTGAAGGCCAATGTGTTCCCAGACAGCATGAAGGGTCCTTAATATAATATAAGATCAGGTCCAGAACACTCCATTACCAATGAGATACTTAACTAATGTTCTGCTTGTAGCAGGAGGTCACGGGAGATTTATCTGAAGAGATGCACATAGAAAGACTTAGCAGACAAGCCATTTCACAACCTCTAATACCCTCACCTTCTTAGTTGCTCAGCTGAAATGCCTTAAGGGATGCATTTTACAGGAGCTCAAAAGTGAACTGGAAACTGCTTAGATCACACAACTTATGCATTTTAAATAGCAGTGTAAAATACTGTGCTTTACAAAGGTTCACTGTTGTA